AAGAAATAAATCTTGATAAATCTAATACTTTTATTTTAAATAGGATGAATTAAAAAACCGGAATAATATTTCCCTGGGAAGGGGTGAAGAGGAATCTCTAACTTGAGATAGAAAATTCAGCTTACCCTGGGGTGGATACCTAGTAACAAGACAGTCTGTCATTCCTGGCAGTGGTTTTAGATAAGTAGTTTAGAAATAATTTTATCACCTCTCCCTGCTTGTCTTCATAAAACTATAATGATAGGAACTCAATAAATACATACTAAATTAATTTTTAAAAATTCAACACTCCTTAATTCCCTTAGGAAGATGTAGGAAACTAGAAAAAGAAGTGAATCAGAAAGTATAAAATTGGTCACTATTATTCTCATAAACTTAGAAAAGAGATCTAATCAAAATTGTCCATCTAAAGATACCGGTCACTAAACAACAGTCCAAGATTCTGAACATGTCTAAAATAGAGAAACAGAACACGGCCTCCTTGAATCATTTGGGGTTGTACACTCAGCTGGTCTAGATCTTTGTCTAGTCACCTACAGACTGAAATGACTTGTTAACCCACATATCTGAGACACTGTATGTTTGGAAAAGTGTAAAATACTGTAGGCATACAAATGCTGAGCATGTATTATTATCAGATTATAGGAAGGGGTATTGAGTATCTAGTGATTGATATACATTCACAACTTATCTTGAATTTAATCTGGAAACTTCACATTATATTCTGGTATAGCCTATACAGAAATATAATAATAGAGCTTGTGGTATTAAAATAAGATGAAAAGGCTTCTGTGCTTTGGTCAATAAAATATTTTGTCTCTTTGCATTTTAAGTATATTCATCTGAGGTTCAGTTAATTTTATAATTTTTTCCTAGACAGAGTGATAACTAATTCAGGAATTCTACAGCAAATTCAGTGTTCCCACACAGGGCTTGGATATGTAATGATAACAGGTTCCAGCTCTCCAAAATGTAACTGAATATATTATTTCAACTAACACTTGAAATTCTTGGTGTGTAAAACAAAAACAAAAAATGACTTTTTGCATCAATCCCACTGCTTTAGAACCATACTTCTAGAGAAAAAAGGCCATTTAAGGTTATATTTTAATTTAGTAAAAGAGTTAAAAAATTTTTCACCCTTGGTCTGTTTGCCCTAAACCCTTATACAAGTTAATCCTAAGAGGAATCATGTTCAGGAATCCAAGAAACCCAGAGAGAAAAACGCAATGACACAAACCATTCCCCAGTGACAAAGGAGTCAGCAAACTGTTGGAAAACAGAGAGCTTGTAATAATGAAAAAAGGACAGAGTTTTGTAACCAATCACTTATTTTCTTTTAAAAACACATAACCACATTAACTTTTTGCTTTATACAACCATCTAGAAACTATAAAACAGTACCACATTGTGCATTTAACCTACTTATCAAGAAGGGAACTCCACATGTCATAAGAATTCTACCCATATAAGAAGGAAAAAGGAGACAGCTAATAGCATAGTCACAGATACAACATGAGTCCAAGCAAGCATCATTTCTTTGACGTCACCCTTTCCATTTACCAGAGTGGAGAGAGTTAAGGAAGCAAGGGTGAAAAAAGAGGGAAAAAAGCACCCACAGAAGACTAATCACATTCCATAGTTACTTCTGACAACTATAGCTCAGGGTTTCATAGAATAGTATCATTTGGCCAACACAATGTGATAGGGGGTGAAGGAAATGAGGGAGAGGGTTTGGAAAAACAGATATATTTAACACCCTATTCCCCTCCTAAATATTCTTCATTGATACAAGCTTCTGTGCTACTCTGGAAAATAGCAAGAAATTAATCTTCACAATGTGATAGAGCTTAGAGTTCTGCTCCTTTTGTAAATGTGAGTGGCTCACAGCTTTACAGTTCAAAAGAATAACAATGTCATGATTGAGTACTCTTTTGGGATTCCCCACAATCTTTCTGCCTATTCCCACCACGCTGGTGTTGCCAATAGGACAATCAGGAAGTGTGGGTGGTAGGGGCTTGAAGAGAGTATGATAAAAGGATAGTGAGATGGAATCCTTGCTCTTTCTTGGAAGTCCACATCTTTCTGGTACAAAGTCTTCCCTCTGACTGGTAGTGATACAGAGGAAAGGGCATAGGAAGAACTACAGGAAGGTGGAAGCTTAGTCAAGCAACTAATTTGAAGGTATATGAGACTGTGTAAATAGCAGACACACTGAGTCCAAGGCAAACAACTGGTTATTTGATTGTCCACAGGGTGATGGCACCATAGAAAAACTGAAGGTGGCTTTGATTTAATAATAAAATAAACCAAAGGTCTGCTATAAGGAAACATACCTTAGATGAACTTAGTATAATGATTCTCTTCACTTTAGGGGAAAATCTCATCTTGTCCCTCTCACTTCTTCTTCCACCGTAAGGAAGCAAATACATTCTGGAAGGCTGTTTTTTAAGGGGCAACTCAGTATCAGAGCTCTGCCAATTCATACAAGAAAGGCATTATGAGCCCTACCAATCAGCAGGTTCCTCTCCATTCCCAGGCAAACCTCTCATATCACTTCAATTAACCACTTCCAAGCCTAATTAGATGCTTTTACTTCTTCATGTTTGGTGAGTGGGGTGGGGTTTAATGCTGGTTACATTTTTGGATGGTAGCACTGACCAGCACAAATTTCTTATGCTCCAATATAATCAACTATCCCACATTACCACCGTGTTCTGACATTGTATAGATTGAAATTCAATGCAGAAAGTTGAGTTTTTAAATTTACTATCAAGACTGATACCGCAAATGCAGAAAGGTATGTTGAATTTATAAAATCCCACTTTAATTCTCCTTGTTTCAGCTAATCATCTCAAGAAATAAAATTTAGATGCATCATAAAAAGGAAATGAACTAAGCTGATAAATTAGATTTATTCTTTTTTTTCCTGAAGTTCTACCAGGACTTTTATTGCCTTAACCTAGTGATTGTAGATCTTAATCTGTAATGATATTGGCTTATTATATTTGAGAAAAGTATGGTGATTTTGTAGTTGAGAAAGCCACAGATTCAACATGATTATTTTCAAATCTGATAAACTATCTTAATTTTGAAAATTTAAATGTTATATAGCAAGAAGTACTTATTTTTTGAGAAAGGCAAATTTTGTGCAAACTATTAAAGAAAACAATAATAACCTGAAATACGTTTACCAAAAAATGTTTTATCACTTTAGAGAATTCTGTTTTTGAATAAAATAATGTCATAAATAGGGTTATTTTCTAAACTATTTTCCTTAGACTATGAAAGTTTTGCAGTCACTGTTTAGAACACTGCATTTGGGCATAAGGAACTATTTCTTGAATAATGCAAAGTAATGGAAAAAAATGATAAAAAAAAAAATTATGGCAGCAGCAACATAACCACTGAAAGGAGAGACAGCAAGCATCGCCTCCATGCTACTGAGCTCTCATCCTTTCCTAACTGCCCAGCTGCTGCTGCCAAGGTCCCACATCCTCTTGCTCTTCTCTGCTATCACCACAATTATTTTTTTTCTCTTCAACTAAATGTCTGTTAATCTGATGCCTGTACAACTCAGTAATATATCAGTTTCTTCTATTTTTAATTTGCATTAGTTTACCTGTTAAGAAAGGATGAACTGCTTTTTCTCTAGTTATCATGAAAATACTTCGGTCAAACCAGGGTGGAGTTTACGTCTAGTAAAATCTCAGTTATAATTCTCAGCACTCTCATGCTGAGAATATTGGGAAGTCATGGATCCTAGGGGCTGGGCCCCATTTTCCTTCTTTAAGGGTCCATCTAGGTTACTGCTGAGGCGGCTGGCATTCTCCTCTCACATCACTGCTTCTGAGTCTGAAGCTAAGCAGCTTTCTTAAGGAGAAAAATGGTAGTTGCTGGAAAAGAAAGTGGCAATGGGTTTTCAACTCCTTTCCAATCTTAAAAATAACCATATAACCTAATTAATAATGACTTAATCTTTTATTATTTTGTTGTCTTTCTGTATGACAATCAATTATTCAATTTTAATGGTATAGGCAGTCTTAAATACAGGCACATATTTGTGTATAGAAAATAAGCCACTTTTGTCTTCTAGTTTCTCTATACACATCAGTGCTTTCCATACTATCATAAAATGAAAAATGAACTTTACTCTTTCATTTATACTTCCTTTACATTCCTCTGGGGAGTATTTTAATTGATATATTAAATTGTGTGACTCTCCAATAAAACCAGAATTTCTAAACCTAAAATGAGATGAAGTTTTTACCTTTGGTTAGATTGCTGCTCCTTTCAAATGACTTTGCGATATTCATTTCCTAAGAGTTCTATTGAGAGTTTCAGTGCACAGGAGTCTCCAATAAAATTTTATGTAGGACATAGCACTCGCAACTGCTAGGACATAAAATTTAGAAGAGAAAAATGCACACTGCCTTTTTTGGAGGAAACAATTTAAATGTATAGTCTGTCTCCCAAACTGTTTTCTCTTGATGAGGAAAAGCCCTTTTTTCTCTTTACAGCTTTAGGAGAAACATAAAGCTGTGCGTTTAAATACATATTTAAGCATCTGTCATGAGTTACATAAGCCTACCATACTAATAGACTATGCTAATAGGACAAACACATCAGAAAAGGAATACATTCTAACATTGTATTATCTATGGAAAAATAATACTGATTAGGGCCTAGAATCATAACAGTTGAAGAAAGACCAAATTGGCCATGGAACACACAGAAGTAAAAACACTGGGGAGTTCAAATATCAGAAGTCAACTGTAAGATTTTATGTGTGTCATTATATAGGTTTACTGATAGAGAATGAAGTTGATAATTCAAATTGTTGGATACACCTTAGTATCACCACTTTTATTTGTGCAAGAGACGACTGGTCCACTGGACTTCTCTATATAACTCAGTAATAATTACTGCTATTTCTTGACAGACCAGTGATATTTCTCCCATAGTTTTAAAGTACAAAATCAATAATTAGAAAAACAATCCCAAGTATAAATAATGCAACCTTTAATCTATTAAGGGGCACTAAATTGTTACCACTAATTATTATGAATGATTCAATTCATTTAAACTATAAACAAACAAACAAACAAACAAACAAACAAACAAACAAACAAACTAGTAATTAAGCTTTTCCTCTTCAAGTTTGCAACAGGGAACATGCTTGGCAAAACACAAAAAAGCAATAAAAGCCACAAAGTTGTATGATTAAAAAAAAAATCTTGATTCACAAACGAAACAAATTTTGGAAGTGTGGCAGAATAAAGATGGCAGAAATTCCTTAAAAAAGAAACTATCTGTCAGTTAACTGATAGAATTTTGGTAGCAAGGGTAACTTGAATCTACTGAAATCATGACAGGTATGAGTAAAGATTTGTAATGCAATGGGAGAAGAGCTGATGATAAAAGGAGCAATAATTGTATGTTTTTAAGACTAAATAAGTAATAATAGCTGTCCTTCCACTTAATTTGTTCTTTTGTCTAAAATTAAGCTGAAAATGACGGCAGTAATTTAATTTCACAAACCCACTGAGGGTGACTTTGGAACCTTCATCTGGATCTGGGGGTAAGGGAGGATAAAAACACATTTTACTTTTTCCCAGTATTTCTATTAGTTTTGTTAGATAATGAAATGCTGAATTTAATGCCAACCACATTCAAGCAAGTAAAACCCCTTACAGTTCTGGGGCTTATCTGGCTGAGTTATGAACATAGGAAAGAAATTAGACAACATAGTGAAAATGGGCATTGTGTACAGACGATGATAGTCTGAAATGTCTAAGAAATATACTTTTTGTGTATGACCAAGCTTAGACCCCCAAAATTTTAAAAGCAGGTTTCCTATCACAGGAGGGCATGTCATCCAAGGTTCGTTCTTTAAAACTGCTGGGAGAAACGGCAGCCATGGTCTGCTTTATCTGTGACGTGAAACAGGGAGGCTCATTTGTTCTAGGCTCTCAAAAATATGGTTTCCCCAAGACAGACTTAATTTGATCAAATTCTGGCTAATGTTAAGTGAGCCCAGAAGAAAAGCTATCCGATGAGGGTGTAGAGAGTCTCTCAAGTAACCTTGTCTTCTAATTCAGAGTTAGTAAAGGTTATACTATTCAATTACGCTACATGTTGAAGCTTAATAAGGCAGGACTTTAGTCGTTACGGTTGGAATATGGGCAAATGTATTCCATGCCTGTCCCTTAAAAAAAAAAAAAAGGCATCAGACCTCTTAAATAAATTTAAACCGGTTGTGTGAAGGTGTGTGGATGCTCTGTTATGAGACACGTGCAGAATTCTAAGGCAGCAGCAACTTAAAAAATCAGTAATGAAACTTTGGCTTAAAATAAAAAAGAAAAGAAAAAGTCAAACTGGTACAAGCTGTCTCATGAAAGAGGTATTGTGGACTAAACCCTCAGAAACACTATTCAACATCAGGTTCCCCTGTCTTCTTTCACTGTGTCACCTTCATTGCACAGGAGTTATAGCATTCTTTTATGGTTAAGTTTCATAAATAATGAGAAAACTATATGTAACAAATACATCATATTTCCCGCCCACCCAGCAACCCTCCCCAAAATAAGAAAAGTTACATCAAATTAAAAAGTAGCTTCGTGAATGAAGGTACTGATCTAAGTTGCACTTTCCCTGCAAGTGCGGCCAGTGCTTTTGCGCTGGGTATGAAGGAAAGGAAAAAATTCTCCACACAGACTGACAAAAAATTTAAAAACCAATGTCCGGTTTCAACCAGTCAAAACCAGGCCAAGCGGAAGCCAAGGTCTCTCAGTACCATCCCATCAGAGGGTCCTTGCAATGCCTGTTCTTCATCCTGATAGGTATCTGTGTCCTTGTGATTGTAAACAATCCGTAAGATACTATGTTTTTGTTCCTTAAAATGTCCTCTGATTGGCAAAAATGAAGTACATATTTGTTTTAAAAATAGAAAATCAAAATTAAACCAGAATAAAAGAAAAGAAACACAGTGAGCTTGTTTGGAGTCCATAGGATCCGATCTGGAAGAGCTCGGAAAATGTGTTATATGTCTTCTCTTGTTTTCGGCTGGAAAGATACTAGAGGTTGCGTTGGTCGAGGAAAGAATTGTTGAGTAGGAAAACCAAGGATGTTAATCTAGACTTCAGAGGATTCAAGTGTTAGCTTCATCATCTGTGTCTTCTATCAATACCTTAGTGTCACGAGTCTTGGATCTAGTGGTAATAAGGGGGAAAAGAGCACTTAGTCCATTACCAAAATACAAACGAATCCATAGTATCAGGTCCATCTCCAATCTTACCACCATTAAAAACACACCCTAAACAGGCTCTATATACTGCACCAGATGGACTACTCCTGGAGTTTCATATTCAATTTCAGGTGTTACTGGAAAAACACTAAGAAACTAGACTGCAGCCAGAGGAAGGTAAAAAGAACAATGGAAGGTCATGTGCAACAGAGAGAAGAGTATTCTGGAATACGAAGATCTGACTTGGAGTACTGACTGATTTTATGATGTACCTCTTTAACCTCTTTGAGTGCCAATTTTCATCTCTGTAAAGCTGGAATAATAATATAATAATAATAATACATAGTTCACATAATACTATTCTCCCCTCATGGAGATAATGTGGATATCAAGTGAGAAAATGGATGTCAAAAGCATCAGTAAAGCATTAAACAAATATATGGAATCACGATGAGGATTATAGAAACAATGCCATTTGAGGTATGCACTGAAAACCAAGGAGAGTTAACTTGCAGAAGATAAGACCTAAGGAGAGACAGTTGTCTTCAAACACTTGACAAAGTATGACATAGAAGAGGCAGAAGACTATAAGAGCGCCCAGCTAGGAGCAACTGGCTGAAGTTATAGTGAAACATATTTCAGCCCCACATAAGCCATCTACCGTGATAATTATCCAACAATAATTATAAACTTGTATAGTTATGAACTTCATTATCGCTGATGACTGTCAATCAGCATAAGATGACCATCTCTTCAGGATTCTGTAGAAGAGATTCCCTCACTGGATGAAAAATAGGACTAGATACTGTTAAAATATTCTGCAATTCATGAGCCCCATGAGGTGAAAGTGGTACTTGGTGAAGTGGGTATTATTCCTACTTGACAAAGGTGGAAACTGACAAAAAACATTAAGGATGTGTTCAAGGTTGCATGACTCACAAAGTTAGTGCTCAAATTCAGATCTTCTTATTTTAGCTTCCCTGCTCTCTCCTTGCACAGAACCTGCTCCATTGTTCTAAACATCTTCCTCTGGCTGCAATCTAGTATCCCAGTGTTTTTCCACTGAACACCTGAAATGGAACACAATCTATTGCCGGAGAACTTCCTTGTTTCTGAAGCAGAAATAGCATATGTTTAGATTGCCCTCTGCTGGTAACAAGGTTTAGATTTCCAAATTTAGGAGCTCAATGAGACAACCACCTACATTACAGAATTGTCTTCCAGGCCCTTGTGGTATTTACCTTGCGGACCCCACTAGGCCCTGCACCCCCTCCTCCTGCTTCTTCACAACTCCGCTTCCTTGTTGTAACAGTATCATGCTTTGTTTTAAAGTTCTTCCTACTGACCTCCCTGACCCTTTTATTTTTTTTCTCTTGCCTGTGTTTATTCCCTATGACTTAGTTCCTTGTTCTCTTCTTTTCTCCACATTCTTCTCTTCAGAGAACTTCCAACTTCTATCTAAATGTGGGTAATTTCTACTCTGCTCCCCTATATCTATAGGTTTACCATTATCTATTTTTTACTTCCTTTAAAATGTCTCCTTACATTCTTTTTAGTCCTATTGTAAGTATCCTAATCCAAGTCTTCAATGTCCCATACTTAAAAATACTGAAAAACAAAAAACAAAAAACCAAACAAAAAAAATCCCAAACCAAAACCAAAACACTGCAGTGCCATTAAAATATAGGAAAATACTTTCATGTCGTTCTTCTATGAAATAACTCTGTGACTCCTTCCTGCCTAAAAGATCAAGCTTGCACTTTTCAGTCTTTTACAATCGTACTTCATCTCTTCAGCTAAATTCTTTACTCTGGTTCTAGTCACATGGTTTTTCTTTCTGCCCCTCGCTTCCACCTTATGTCTTTACTGTGCCCCTAACCTATTCAAAAACTCCCTTATCCTTTAGAAAACTGTCCATGTTCAACTTTAAGTCTCCTCCCTCATTCCAATCCACTGTGATAGCTGCTATCTCTAGATTTCAGATGTAGCCACACTATCCTACATTTATTGTTATTTTTAGATTCAAAGTCAATGACTGATAAAAAATACTATTGTAGGTACTTAGTAAGAAAATACAAATAGCTTACACTTATTGAGCTCTTTCTGTGAGGAAACTGGTCTAAATCCCATGTCACAACATATTCAATCCATTTAACCACCCTATGAGCAGGGACCGTATTAATCCCAATTTACAGGTGAGGGGTAATATAGAGCAATTAAGTAATTTGGCCAAGGTTACATAGATGGTAAGTGACAGAGCCAGGACTCCTATGGTTTATAACTTGAAAATTAGTTGTATACAAAACATACTGAAGAATCAAATAAATTATTCTCCAATAATTTCCCTCCCATGTAACGTACTTTTAACGCCAAATTAGTGGGCATTAATGTATTAATGTCATCTTTTCACTCTATGTGCTCATTAAGACATTCGATAGGTTGGATCACATGAAATTACTTTACTGCTGTTTTTTCTGTAGGTGCAAAATGGTTGAATGCCAACAATTTCATTTGGTTCAACTCGATAGCTTCTTAGCTTAAATGTTACCCAGAAGTGGGCGCCATACATACTGAGAAGCGAGGCGAGGCCGGCGCAGGGATATGCTCTGGCTGTACTTCCACGGCCGGTTCTTCTGGCGGTTTCGTACCCCATCATCCTGGTCCATCATCTGCTCCAGGAGTGTCTGATCATCTGCGTTCAGAGGCGCCACAGAGATGTCCCGCACAGCACGGAATTCACCACAGTTATTCAGGTGTTCATTCTCCAGGCGGAAGAAGTTCCACACAAATCGCCTTGGCAAAACGGAGTAGAGTAGGCAAATGACTTACAAAATGTTAACTTACTACTATAACCTGTACACCTTCTAGTATGTCAAGTTTCCATACACAGAAACAAAAGCAAGGGATTAACGGCTAGAATATTATTAAAATAAAATAGGTAAAAATGGCGTGGTGTGTGTGTGGGAACGAGAATGAAGCGGCCAAAGGGAAGGGCCTCATGGAAGGCAGTTTCAGAGTACACACTCTTTCATTTTATTGAACACATATGTATGGAGTGCCTACCATATGACAGGAAAAGGCACTGAGAGACAGATAAAACCTCTGCCCTTATGGGGAGTGATTTCTAGTGGCAGCAACAGATAATAATCAGCTAAGGGTAAGTGTGCTAAAAAAATAATAAAGCAGGGCAAGGGGACAGACAGCATATGCTTCTCTGAAGAGATGGCAACTAGCAGAAACCCGACTGATGCAAGGAAGCAAGTCGTGTAAAATCCTGAAGAAAAGTACCTTAGGCAGAGGAAATAGCAAGTGTAAAGGCCTCAAGTTGGAAAGGCCTTTGAAACACAGCAAGGTGAGTCAGGCTGGAGTGGAAAGGAAGGTAAAACTGGCAGGAGATACACAGATGGCAAGGTAGCAAAGGGCCTGATCCACACAGGGCCTTATATGCCACAGTAAAGAGTTTAGATTTCAAGTGGGATGGAAAACAAGGAGAGTTCTGAGTAGGAGAATGATATTTCTTTTAAAAAGATCATACTCTCTGCTACACTGTGAGGGAGGCAAGAAGGGCTGGAGGAAGACCAATTAGGAGCTGCTGGCAGTTCAGGAAAGATGATGGAGACTGAGCGTAAGGTGGTAATAACAGAGGTGATGAGAAGCAGACAGACTAGGGATTTATTTATGAAGATGGAGCTGACAGGGTTTACTGGGATGTGAGCGGTTTCAGTGAATGACGACATCAGTTACTAGAGATCTGGGCTGTTTCTATTGGGCTAGCTAGAGCCATTAGATAGCTAAGGGGAAAATTCAGTAGCTAGATGGACATGAGTTTACAGTTCAAGGGAGAGTCTAGCGCTGGGGACAGCAGAAAGACAGCATTTCAAGTCATGGACTTAGAAATAATGTAAGTGGAGGAGAGGTGAGGGCAAAGGCTTACACCCTGAAGCACTCCAACATTTACAATTTGGAAAGAGGAAGAAAAAAACACTAAAGTTGAGAAGGAATAGCTAGTGAGACAGAAGAATGTATTTTCTGAGAAATCAAGTGAAGAAAGTGCTTAGCTGAGAGGTAAAAGAAGTACAGAGAACTGACTTCTGGATTTAGCAAAATAGAGAGGCCGTATGATCTATGAGATTCTGGGAGACTGCCTGGATTCGAATCATGACTCCAGCACGTACTAGGTATAATGACCTTGGATGAGTTACTTAACCTATGCTTCAGTGTCACCAGTAAGATCGGACAATAACAGTACCTACCTCAGAAGACTGTTGTGATGATTCAGTAAGTTAATACATGTAAAGGGCTTAAAACAGTGCCAGGTAAATACTAGGCAATACATAAGTATTTACTATTACTATAGATTATTAACAAAAATGATTTAGTTTGCATATTGGAAAAAAGATGAGTTGAATTAAAGGGAGAATGGGGGAGGAGTAAGAGAGTGGAGACAGCAAATACATCTCTTGGAAGAGTCCTGCTGTAAAGGAGAGCAGAAAAATGGGCAACAGTTTGGAGGAAAAAAGTAGATTCAAAGGAGGCTTTTTGCTTTTGTTTTAAATACACCTGATTGTATTATTAAGCAAATAAAGTTTTAAAAATAAAATAACAAAGAACATATGTATAATGAAGCAATTTTTTTAAACTAGAAAAACATTTTAATTTATGAAGCAGCATACATTAAAGAGAAAGAAGTGGGTGGAGGAGATCTTGGTAGTGACGAAGAGTTTCAGGTCCTTGACCTAGACATTTGGGAAAGTGAAGAAGGGTTGACAGATGGTTTGGAGAGAGCACTGACAGCAACGAATACGCTGTTTCCAGATTCAATCGTTATCTTTCAGGTTTATCTTTACGTTTCTAGGTTCTGTCTTATTAGGCCATCCTGATAAATGTGCCTATCCTGACTCTGGAATGCTATCCACCTGGTCTGAAAATATCTTTCACCTTCATTTGTGAAAGATATTTTCACTGGGTAAAGAGTTCTAGACAGTTCTAGTATTTTCTTTCAGCACACTGAAGATATCATTTTAATGACTTCTGATTGTCATTGTTGCTGCTGAGAAGTCAGCTGTCAATCTAACTGCCACTTTTTTGAAGATAATGTTTTCCTTTGGGCTGCTTTAAAAAAAAGCATTAAAGTATAGCATAGATATACACAAGTGTGCAAATTGTAAGTGTGCAGTTTGTTATAAAGTGATCACACTGTGTAATTACCACTCAGAAATAAGAAATATAACATTGTCATACACCAAAGCTGCCTTTATGGCCCCCTCCTATGTTATCTTCTAGAGCGTTTATTGATTTACCTTTCATATTGAGTTCTGCAATCCACCTGGAATTGATTTTGCATACAGTATGCCATAGGAGTTGGGATTCATTTTTTCCCCATATGGATCTAGTTGACTCAATAGCATTATTAAGGGGCCTCATCTTCTCCACTGTTGTTTAGCCATCTTTGTCATAAATCAGGTAGTGTCACTGCATGTGTGGCTATTTCTAGACTCCCTATTCTGTTCCAGTGGACTATGTGTCTATTCTTTCACTAACACCAGACACTGTTTTAATTACTGTAGCTGTATGTCTTAATATTTGAGAGTGTAAGTCCTTTAACTTTGTTCTTTTCAGGATGGTCTTGCCTGTTCTTGATCCCTACTGTTTCCATATAAATTACAGAACTGGCTTATCAATTTTCATATACATGTATCTTTCATTAAATTTATTCCTAGGTATTTGATACATTCTGATGCTATTCAAAAATGGTATGGTTTTTAAAAATTTAATTTTCTAGTTGTTTGTGACTGTTTTTTTGAACAACACTAATTTATATTTAATTGACCTTATATTCAGGGACACAGCTACACTCATTTTAATAGCTTATTTGTACATTCTTTCAAATTTTCTGCATATGCAATCATGTCATCAGTAAATAATTATGGTTTTCCCCCTTTATTTTATTAATCAGTTAAGACTGATTTTTATATGTTAAATGATTTTTTAATATTAAATCTTACATTCCTAGAAATAACCTAACTTGGTTGTGATGTATTATCCTTTTTATACATTGTTGGATTCGTTAGCTAATAGTCAGGATTTCTGCATTTCTGTACATGAGACAGACTGGTCTTTCTTGGAATGTCCTTGTAGGTTCAGATATCAAAGTCATGCTGGCTGCACAAAATGAACTGGGAAGCATTCTGTTCCTTCTATTGCCTCTTTTCCCTTGAAGAGTTTTGTGTAAAACTGATAATACAGTAATACCTTGGTTTGCGAGCATAATTTTTTCTGGAAACAAACTACTTGTATTGCAAGACATCGCTCGTTTATCACGTTAAAATGTATCAGAAATGTTTGCTTGTCTTCGGAACAAACCACGTCTTGCAAACCACGTTACTCGCAATCCAAAGTTTTACTGTATTTCCTCCTCATATATTTGGAAGAATTCCCTGGGCCTGCAGTTTTCTTTGTGGGGAGAATTTTAATATGAGTGTAATTTAATAGATATCAACCTATCTGATTTCATCTATATTTTTAAATTCATTGACATAAAGTTACTTGTAATATCTTACTCTTTTAAAAAAAATCTTTAGAATATCTGATATTTGAATTTTGTGCCTTCTTTCCTTTTTTGCTTGATCAGTCCTATTTGGACATTTTATCCATCAGTCATTTTAAAGAACTTTGGCTTTGATAATTTTTCTCTATTATATGTTTGTTTTCTATTCCATTAATTTCTGCTCTTTACATTCACTTATTTCTACTTTCTTTTAGGTTTTGATTTGCTATTTTTAAATTTTTCTAATTTCTTGAGCTGTATGCTCTTCTAATATATACATCTAAGGTTATATACATGCACTTCTAAGCGTGGCTTTAGCTGCATTCCATATTTTCTTTTGCCACATTTTCAATCATTCTGTTCATAATACTTTTTTTTTTTTAAAGCTAGTTTTTGTTGTTGGTTTTTTTTAAAGATTTTTTTTATTGGGGAATTGCGGGGATGGGAATAGTGCTGGGGAGTTGGGGAAGGGGAACAGACAAGTTGCTGTCATTTTGCTCTTCAGTCTAGCTGTGGAGGACGTTGCTTCACTGGCCCAAGTTGGCACCATCATTGCGCTCTTCCCGGGTGAGGCAGATCAGTCGCCG